GAGTAGATAAATAGGTACTGCTCTGACGGGAAGGTGCTGGCCACATGGTCTTTGAAGTGTCTACTGACAAAGCCGGCTCTTTGGCATAGAAATTGAGAGGAGCACCAACCCCCAGAGACTGACACGACTGGACTTAATGTCAGGGGAAAACCTTTACTATACACACACACATACACATGCATACATATCTATGCTCTATCATGGCTCTGGCAAGAACGTTAAGTGCCTCACCAAGCAAAATACCATAAATCTTGAGGTCGCCTTCAGCCAAAGTATAATCTCTCCATTCATTTGACTTGGGAGACTCGATCAGTGTGCCCATCTACACTGCCCTATAATGCGTTTTGAAGCTGCATTCTATGGCAGAGCAAATTGTGCCCAAAACTATGTATGCAGCGAAATTTTGGCTTTTTTCCCCATCAGAAATAATTCCGTCATAATCAGACCACAGTCCCATTTACATTGCGGTATGGTGCAGTTTCAAACTGCTTTATATGGCGGTGTGGATGGGACCCATGATCCATCCCTGGATTCTTCTCAGGGAAGAAAGGAGAAAGAGATCCCTTTGCCAACCTTTTGGTATTATTATTCTTATTCTAGTTCTGCCCCACTTTCCTGTCTTCATAGAGACCCAAAGGGGCTCGTTATCTCGTGCGGGCGGAGCGTAGCTAATCCGCGTTGAAAACAGGCCAACCGCGCAAAAGAGGGCTTCTTCTTTTCCTACTGGGTTTGGGGGGGGGGGGGCAGGGGAAGGCAGAAGCCGGGAGGAAAGGAGGCAAAGGCGAGGGGGAAAAGGAAGGCGAAGTGATGAACGACCCGGCGCCGGGAGGCGTCATAAATCAGGCCGGGTGTGATTCCCGATCAATTCCGAGTCGTCATGAATATGCTAAGTAAAGCGCGGGACAGTGTTTTAGACAGTTATTTCTTCATTAAGGATCACTCCGCGATTTCCTTCGCCAAGGCTCTAATCTGATTTCCTTTTGATTTCCATTAGAGACAGTGAATAATGACATTTAATTTAGCCCTGCGCCCATAAAACCCAAAGATATTTGCTGGTAATTGAATTACTGCCGGCTCCTCACTGTGGTCTCATAACTTTCAATTATAACCCTGACAGCTGGGCGATATGAGTTGCCGGTACAACACTAAAAATAAAAGGTTAATAAGGAGTCGCTACCGGAGGAGCGCCAATTTATTTACAGCGCGTTTCCACGCTAAATTGAAACAGGATCCTTTAACAACAAGGGACAGGCGCCCCGCACTCGGATCGGGAGGAGGGTCGCCGGGAAAGGGAAAACTCTTTGGGGCCATTCCCCACCCCCACACCCCTCAAAAAAAACCCATTCTAGTTCCTCTTTTTTTTTTTTTACCAAAAAATTAAAAAAAACTGACCCAACTTCTATTGGTTTAATTTAAAATACTTTTCTCCTCTCAATTCCCTCTCTTCTTTTGGATTATTTCCTAGGTAGGAAGAGGTTAAATATATATATATATATATATAACACACACAGTATATTCTGGCGTATAAGACTACTTTTTAACCCAAGAAAATCTTCTCAAAAGTCAGGGGTCGTCTTATACGCGGGTGTAGTCTTATGCATGGGAGTCGTCTTAACTCTATATTTTAACTGGAAAAGTTGGGGGTCGTCTTATACACCCAGTCGTCTTATATGCCGGAATATACGGTATATATATATATATTTACTGGCTGGAGTTGCCACTGGAATGGGAAGGAAGATTTCAAATCCGTCAAAAGCTCCAAACGCCTTGGTGACCTTAAATATTTTACTCAGATGATGAACTAATTTGGTAGATAAACTGTTTGGGGGGGGGGGGAGTTCAATTACAAGTAATCAATTGTTGTAATAGAAACTGTACAAGTAAAATATAACTATATATATAAAATATTATTTACATATGTATATTTGCATATTATATATATTATATTATTATATATCATTATAAATTATATGTGTGTAATATATATAGTGTTTTATATGTGTGTGTGTATGTTTTAGAAAAAGGGAGAGAGAGAGAGATCACACACACACACACAGACATTACACTGGCCCATTTTGGTGCCTGGAATATTCGACCCCTTTCTGGGTATATTTGACCTGCTGATTCCAAAATCTGCATCGATTTCCCCTTTTCAGCTCTAGTTTTTGAGATACAGGCTATATATGCCATCTATCAATCCTCATCTGCTTGCCCATAGAAAATCAAGATAGCCATATCTAAGAAACTAGAGCTGATGCAGTCTATCAAATGCCATTTTCTGAATCAGCTCACCAAATAATTCCAGGAATAGGCCTAAAAACCAAAACATCAAGGGGGAAAATTGGTAGATTAGTAGAACACACACACATATATGTAATGTGTATTTATACGCACACGTGTGTGTGTGTGCATATATGATCTACAGATTACATATATGTGTATGTGTGCATAGTATATACACACACATGCATGCATGCATGCATACATACATATATTATGCTCTATCGTGGCTCTGGCAAGAACGTGACTTTGGCTCCTTCCACACAGCTGAATAAAATCCCACATTATCTGCTTTGAACTGGAATATATGGCAGTGTGGACTCAGATAACCCAGTTCAAAGCAGATATTGTGGGATTTTTTTTGCCTTGATATTCTGGGTTATATGGCTGTGTGGAAGGGCCCAGAGCATCACCGAGCAAAATACCATAAAAGTTGATGTCGCCTTCAGCCAAAGTTTAATCTTTCCATTCATTTGACTTGGGAGACACGATCTGTTTTGAGATTGGGGCCCCTTCCCCATAGCTGAATAAAATCCCACATTATCTGATCTGGAATATATGGCAGTGTGGCTAACCCAGTTCCAAGCAGATATTGTGGGATCTTCTGCTTCTGATGTTCTGGGTTATATGGTTACGTGGAAGGGCCCTGGGAGGAAAGCAGTAGAAACTCTACCCTAACTCTGAATACTGCTTGGCTGCCCTTTCTCTTCTTTTCCAGGAGCAGCCAATCCTTGAAACTGAATATATTGAGAATTAAAACTCTTTGGGAAGTGCGAGCTTTTCTGTGCATTTTGTGAAGAACTTTCCACGTACAGTATATGTAAACGAGAGGTTTCTATAGGGGGAAGGGCTAATCCCAGACTTCCTGGACATCCAGATCTAGTCCCTAAGGGATGCAGAGATTAAAACTTGCGAAAAAATAATTCCATTGAAACGAGGGGGGCATAAAATCAAACATTGGAGCACTGGGGACCCTTCCACACAGCCCTATATCCCAGAATATCAAGGTAGAAAATCCCACAATATCTGCTGTGAACTGGAGGGGAAAATCCCTCACACTAGAGGGGAAAATCCACTTAAAATCCGATTTCTGCTTCCTGCTGAATTCTGGGGTTTGTAATTTAGTGAGGCTGTTGGAGGCTCCTCCCTAAACGACAAACTTCAGAATTCAGGGTGGATTTTATACTGCCATATATTTTATACTGTCATATATTCCAGTTCAAAGCAGATCTTGTGGGATTTTCTGCCTTGATATTCTGGGCTATGTGGAAGGGCCCTGGGTTGCTGTGAGTTTTCAGGGCTGTATGGGCAAACGTTAGGAGAGAATGCTTCTGAAGCATGGCCACACAGCAACCCATTGGAGGAGTTACTTCTCAGCATGTCTATCTCCCCCCACAGAAAAAAACAAGGGAATTGAAGCGCGATTCAAGAGAGTTGTGTGTGTGTTTTGGGGAGGGGGAGACTGTTCTCGCGAGAACTCAAGCCGAGTGAGCGCTTAAACGGGTCTTGATCGTCTTCATCACGTGCCTTTGACCCTGAAGTCAGGCTCCACAGGTTGATCTCATTAGACCCCGATTTGGGCCTCGCATCTGTTTCAAGGGATCGATGCGACGACCCACGCAGTCAAAATCATAAAATAAAAACACCACCCCTTTCAAGATGGTTTTAGTGCTTTTCCAGGGCAAAACTACAGACTTTCTCTTTGATTGGTGAAGATCTTTACTATGTTAAGAAAAAGCACTTTCGAGTTTGCAGAGAAGCCTCTCTTTCCCCAGTGGCGGGTGAATGTAAACAATCCCGAGATATTCGGGCGGATTTGGAGACGTTTTATATATATTTTTTAATGTGAACGAGAGGTCGGGGCTGGGGAGAGAGGCGCAGATGGGGCCCTATGAATTCATACCCTTGTTATGCAAGTCAAATGGAGGCACGTTTTCCCTCCTGGCTCCGGATTATCCAGTCCCAAAGCGCCCAACGGGCCTCGTCTGATCCGGACCAATTGTTCCCCCAAGTGGCTTCCCTTTCCCTCCCTCGAAATGGGGACAGAAGGAGGAAAGGAGGGAGGGAAGGGAGCCAAAAGGTTGTGTTGGGGTTTTTTTATCATTTGGTGGCTGGCTAAAGCGTCGACTAAGGATATATTGACACTGTAGATCAGGCCTGGGCCAACTTGGCCTTTCCAGGAGTTTTGGATTTCAATTCCCACCATTCCTAACAGCCTCGGGCCCCTTCCTTTTCCCTCTCAGGCTTTTATGCGGCTGAGAGGGGAAAGGATTGGGCCTGAGGCTGTTAGGAATGGTGGGAATTGAAATCCAAAACTCCTGAAGAGCCCAAGTTGGCCCAGGACTGCTGTAGAAGGAATGCAGTTTGATCCCACTTTGACTGCCATGGAATCCGCTGTAGTTTTACTAAGTTTGTAACCTTCTCTGCCCAAGAGTCTTGGGACCCTGAGGATCCCATAGCTGTGAGCCATTCAAAACATTTACAGAGTGGGGGGGGGGGGGGGGGGGTCAGATTGCATTCATTCTACAGTGTAGATGCATCCAAAGAGGATGCTTCCAACGTCCCATGTAAAGTGAAAGTTGGAAGGGGCGAGAAACGCATTCTGCAGTCACAGGGCACGGGATTTCCGCCTCTCCACACGATCACACGTGTCCGAACGCCCCACGCTGCGTGGAGTGACACGCGTGTCTGTGTACGTGTGGATGCCCCCCTGGGCTTACCTGGACCCTGGCTTCGGAGAGGCCCAGCCGCTGGCTCAGCTCCTCCCGCATGAAGGCGTCTGGGTAGTGCGTCTCGTCGAACAGTCTCTCCAGCTCGTTCAACTGCTCCAGCGTAAAATTGGTTCGGCTTCGCCTCTGCTTCAGTTTGGTCTGGCCGTCCTCGTCCTCCGACTTCACCTCTTCCCGCTTGTCTTTGCACTCATAGATCCCTGCGGGCGGGAGGCGAGAAGAGGGAGACAGGTCAAGACAGGGAATTTCGGGTCCCAGGAGCCCCTTTCCTTTCCTACACAGGAGCCAATTGGGGACACTTTCTGACAGAAGAGGACGTGGCTCTCGTTCAGCACCAGCCTGGTTCCCATTTGCTCCCCAGTGCCAATGTTTTGTTTACTAAGGGTGAACTTCTGGGAAGGAGGAACCCCAGTTCTCTAGTCAGGCTTTCCAGTAGGCTCAAGGGGTAGATTTATGCCTCCTTCTCTTTTAGGCCCCACTAGCTAAGGAAACCCTCACTCAGGCCAGGATTAAATTAACAAAAGCCTCCCCAGAAGCCCAACAAGACTTGCTTTTACTCAAACCAAGAAGAGGGACCATTGTGGGAAAATAAAGTTAGACGTCTTATGTGAAACCCACAATGCCAACTAGTTGCCTCCCTCTTTGATTGCCTTCAGGTATCAACAATTTTTTGGACTGATCAATAAAAACAAAAGGGGGGCAGTTCTCCCCACTCTCTTTACTTATAAAGATAAATCCAAGTGTGTTGCAGCATATGGTTATGTACTATAGTACTGAATAGTGGGTACAGTAAGTATCTGTACTAGTGTATGGTATAATAGCAAGTAAAGGGAACACTTTATAGTCCAATAGCTTTGGTCACATATTTATACAATTTGTAAGTTAGCATTGATTACAAACATTTAATGTGTATATAATACTGGTTGCAAATAAGCATTGGTGCTGGTAATAGTACAGTATTATTTAGTAATGTATATTGTAATATTGATTATAAGTGTCCATTAAGTATTGATGGAAGTCTATGGTACAGAATTGACTGTACTGTCTAGTAAGTATTGGTATTGGTACAGTACTGGCTAGCAGTGTATAAAGGGGACTCATACTACCCATGAGTCCCTTTCGGTAGAAAAAAAGCTGGGTAATAATAATAATGTCTAGTAAGTATTTTTATTAGTTTTAGTACAGTACTGGATAGCAAATAGTATACAAATGAGTCCCCTTCGGGTAAAGTAATAATAATAATAATAACAATAATAATAATAATAATAATAATAATAATAATAATAATAATGTCTGATAATTATTAGTATTAGTTTTAGTACAGTACTTGTTAACAATGTATAAATAGTATACTACTGAGTCCCCTTTGGGAGAGATTAAGGAGGGCAATGATGATGATGATGATGATGATGATGATGTCTAGTAAGCATTGGTACTAGTTTGTAGTTTAGTTTTGGCTTAGCAATATATAAATAATATGCTACTGATGTCTAGTAAGTATTAGTTTTACTACAGTACTGGCTAGCAATACATAAATAATATACTACTAATGAGTCTCCTTCGGGAGAGATAATTCAGGGTATTATTATTATTATTAATGTCTAGTAAGTATTAGTATTAGTTTCAGTATAGCATTTGCTAGCGATATATAAACAGTATACTACGAATGTCAAGTAAGTATTGGTATTAGTTTCAGTATAGTATTTGCAACAATATATAAATACTATACTACTAATGTCTAGTAAATATTGGTATTAGTTTTAGTACAGTCTTGGCTAGCAATATATAAATACTATACTACAAATGTCTAGTAAGTATTGGTATTACTTTTAGTATAGTATTGGCTAGCAATATATAAACAGTATACTACTAATGTCTAGTAAGTATTGGTATTACTTTTAGTATAGTATTGGCTAGCAATATATAAACAGTATACTACTAATGTTAAGTAAGTATTGACATTAGTTTATAGTATAGTATTGGCTAGTACTGTATATATAGTAAATTGCTGATTATTGGTTCTGATTAATTCTACTCTAGCCAGCAGCCTAAATACTAGAGACACCAGAGTCTATCTGATCTAGGAGACTAAACAGCTTGCCCCCACCGCCGCTGCCCCCAACAGCAGCCCTTCTGAGGCGAAGGCTTCGTGCTTTGGGGCAAAGAGGGGGGAGGGTCACACTTCCAAAACAAGACACCCCGGTGGAGAAATCCTGTTCGTGGGATGGGGCAAGGTGCCTCTAGAAGGAGTATGGTTTTTTGCAAACCCAAGCAAAGGAGTCCCTCTAACTCACTCTGATCCTACTAAGTTCATGAGATCCGGTTCCTCCCGACTTTTTTTTTTACGTGTAGAATATTGGTAGTGGAATATTTTATTGACTGGCTTGTGACTGTAAGTGAAGGATCGTGTCCCGTGGGATTTTGGCGCTTCCTTGAACCTCAAATGGGTCTTTTTGGGAAAGGAAAGAGCGTGGATTTCAGGGCGGCGTTTGTGCCGGGGATCGGGACCCCTCTTCCCGCGCCCCATCACCGCAGTGGCTTCCAAAGGTTGCTCCTAAATCAATAGGGTTTTCCTTCCAAGCAATAGATCTATCTGTCTGTATGTCTGTGAAGGTTCAGGGTCGGGGCATTTGATTCCACTGAGGAGGCAGCATAAAAAGCCAATGGACTTAAAGTCGCAGCCCAAACCTCGGAGGAAAACACGAGCGATGTCTTCATAGCCGCCTGGCGACTTCTACAAACGCGATTAGGAAAGATTGCCTGGAGAAAACATCTCTTCAGGAGGATGCGGGCAAAGATGGGTCAAAGAATCAAAGGGGCTCCTCACAAAATCTATTTATTGGCACGGATTTATAAGACAGGCTTTCCTCCTCTCCTCCCTCCATAAACATTCGGATATGGCCCCTCTCACCATTGTTTAGAACCGTGTTGTCTGTGTGCGTTTGCCTAGAATATTTCTACAGTCCCTCCGCGGATTTCCTCCGTTTGAGCATGGTTATACAGCCTGGAAAACTCAGAGGATGTTATTTGGAATTCACTCTTTGACCTACAATTTGAGAAGTCTATAGGAAACGGAGGGAGCAGTTGTATGTATGCGATCTCCCACAGCCACATTTTCAGCAGGGTGCAGGAAAGACACTTTTTAAAAAAATCCCTTAACATTGATAGACCTTACTAGTAAATGTATAAAATCAAAATATTATTTCCTCAAAGAACAAACATTGACCCGAGTGGAAAAATTAATACTGCCTGCATTAAAAAAATATAAATACTGCAAATAAATAAAATAAAATAAAAAACCGAAAAGCACTCCACGATTTTCCCTTAGTGAAGAAGAAAATACAATGTTTTGAATAGAAGGATTAGATTAGAATGATTTCAGTGAACCTGGAGAAAGGGAGAGTAAATAAAATACCTTTTCCTATTTTCCAACAGACCTCACAACCTCTGGGGATGCCTGCCATCGATGCAGGCGAAACGTCAGGAGAGAATGCTTCTGGAACATGGCCCTACAACCCGAGAAAACTCACAACAACCCAAAATACAAAGGATGTTGGAGGAATTCAGATCTGGACGAAGATCTGAATTTTATGAAAGCCTTTTTATCTAAACGACCCGATTCTGTTTTGGTTTTGAAAGGATGTCGTAATAGCGTCCCAGACATTGATTCTCGGACGTCATCAAGTTTACAGAATACGAACGAGAACCGAGAGGGAGAGAAAAGGACGATGGGTTTGTGAAACGGCTTCTCCTTGAAAGCAAAGCATCCCTCCATTGGCAGGCCGGTCCTTCTTCCTCAAGTCTAAAAGATCCTTATAGTTCATCCCACTAGTTCAAGCCCAAGGGGACCAAACCTCTCCAGATGGTCCAAAGGGGCTTCCTGAACTTTCCATACTCCCCTTTTCTCCTTTTGAGGGGAGAAAAAGCAGGATGTATCAATCGAAAAACGGGAAGAGAGAGAGAGCATCCAGCAACCAGAAGGAAAGAACTGGGTTGGGATGCTCATAGAGAAGGAAGGAAGGAAGGAAGGAAGGAAGGAAGGAAGGAAGGAAGGAAGGAAGGAAGGAAGGAAGGAAGGAAGGAAGGAAGGAAGGAAGGAAGGAAGGGGAGAGGGGAGAAGGGGAGAAGGGGAGAAGGGGAGAAGGGGAGAAGGGAGATACTCTGTTGAGAAATATGGGGGCTTCTTTCGCTTCTTCTGCCTCGAGACATTTCCTCAAAAGTCTCTCTCCCCAAATTAAAATCAGAACTGAAGCCAGGGCGAGCAGAGATGTGATCCACGACCTCCACCACCTCTGCCCCCCTTCCCACCCCCAAGTTGGGCAACAAGGAGCTTGCATCGGATCGTTTCCATTATTCTTTAAAGAAAGAGGAAGAGGAGGGAAGGGTGGGCTTTCCAGCATTGAAAATGTAACCCAGGGGGTCTCTTCTTCTGCACAGACCCTAGAATCCCCCTGGACAGCCAGGAAAGGTCATGGAGACCCGTGAAAGGGGAGGGGGCAAGGAAGGGGAAAGAGAGGGAAGTTTGGGCTTCCCAATTCTTCACCTTGAGACCCAACAGAGTTGGAAAGAGAAGCGTCTCAGAGCGGGGCGCCTCTCTTTGCCTCTCTACGACAGTCTTCATCCATCCCTATCAGAAACCAGAGAAGGGGAGAAAAAGAAAGGAAAGGAAAGAGGAGGGAAGTTTGGGCTTTCCAGAAGTGTAAGCACGAATCTTTGACTCGGGGCACAGTTGTTGACTCTCTTTTTTATGAACCGACCCAACTGCCTGTAGGGGCCCTTCCACACAGCCCTGTATCCCAGAATATCAAGGTAGAAAACCCCACAATATCGGCTTTGAACTGGGTTATCTGAGTCCACATTCAGATCATGTGAGAGTTTCTGCCTTGATATTCTGGGATATAGGGCTCTGCGGAAGGGCCCTAGGAAGCCCCATCCCTATCCGAAAGGGAAGCTAGGGAGGAAGGGAGAAAAGGAAAGAAAGGTTGCCTTTCCCATGCTTCCTACCACGGTCCAACAGAGTTAGAGACGTCAACTTCTAACATGGTGTGATGTTAAAAGTTTTGTGTTTTTTGTGAACTGTCCAAGTTTTCTGTGAACTGTCCAAGAGCCCTTCCACACAGCCCTATATCCCAGAATATCAAGGCAGAAAATCCCACAAGATTGCTTTGAACTGAGATATTTGAGTCCACACTGCCATATATTCCAGTTCAAAGCAAATTTTCTGCCTTCATATTCTGAGCGGAAGGACCCCAAGAATCCCCCTAAGAAGCCCCATCCTTCTCCGAAATTGAAGCTGGAAGAACAAGAAGGAAAGATTGCCTTTCCCATGTTTCCTGCCAAGGTCCAGCAGAGTTGGAAGCATCAACCTCTCGCTCCCTTTTTTGTGAACCGACCAAGGGTCCTTCCACACAGCCCTATAGCCCAGAATATCAAGGCATAAAATTATGAGTGTGGACTCAGATAACCAGTTCAAAGAAGATATTGTGGGATTTTCTGCCTTGATATTCTGGGCTATAGGGCTGTGTAGAAGGGCCCTGAGTCCACACTCAGATCATGTGGAATTTTCTGCCTTGATATTCTGGGCTATAGGGCTGTGTAGAAGGGCCCTAAGAAGCCCCATCCTTCTCCGAAAGGGGTTTGGGAAAAAGGAGGAGGGGAGCGGCAACGTCTTCCCAGTTCCTTTTCTTCCTCTCGACAGAGTTGGAGACAGCTAGGAACCTCTCCCGCGGGGCAGAGTTGTTTCCTGTCTTTTATATTAAGTGGCCAAGACTCCCCCTAAGAAGCCCCATCCATCCCTTCGAGGGGGTCCTGGGAAGCCGAGGAGAGGTGGGAGGAAGCCTCTCGGAAAGGGAAAGCAGGAGAGAGAGAGAGAGAGAGAGCGCCTCCCCGGACCTGGGGTCCGCCTGCTTACCTTCGGCGCCTCGGGCGGCGTGCGCGAAGTCCTTGAGCTTGCTGCTGTCCTTGTCGCCCTCGGGCTGCTCCTTGAAGAGGTGGACGGGGCACCCTCCGCCGCCACCTCCTCCTTCGGCCAGTTCCTGCAGGCTCCCGGCCTCCGAGGGGCCCAGCTCCCGGGACCGCGCTGCTGCCAGGCCTCCCTCCAAAACTTCCCGGTACGTGATGCTTTCCTTCTTGTGTCCGCTTCCTCCCCCTCCTCCGCCACCTCCTCCTCCTCCTCCTATTCCTCCTCCTCCTCCTCCTCCGGCGCCCTCCTTGCCCTTCTGGTCAAAGGATTTGGAGACAAACGCCGTCAGTTCCTCCATGGCGGCGGCGGCGGCAAAGAAGAAGAAGAAGACGCGGGAGAAGACCCGGAACCCCGGCGAGAAAGGCAGTAGCGCGCTCGCCTCCTCTTCCTCCTCCTCTTCTTCCTCCTCCTCTTCCTCCTCGGATCCTGCCTTTGGCCCAAGTGCTGCCCTCGCTCCGGAGGTCTACGCCGCCGCGCCTATTAAGCCGGGATGGGGGCGGGGGAGGCGGGGAGGGGGGTTTAACGCGAGTCGGCGGGACTGCGCGTGCGGACACGCCTCTCCGAGACGCCCTCGGTGGCTGGAAATGGGGGAGCGCCTGGCCTGGCTGCCTTGGGATGGGCCAGACCCCCTCGTACTTATATACGCCGCGCCTTCCCTCCTTCCCCCCCCCCTCCCTTCCTCCAGCAATTAGGAGCCCGGGTCTCCTCCTCCTCTTCCTCCCCGACGACGCCACGGAAGAGCGAGCGCCCTGCTCGGTGCGTGGCCTTGATCCCGGTTTCGGGGCGCCGAAGAGCCCCGCCAGGCAGGGAGAGAGGGACAAATAGCGGGGAAGAAGAGAGGAAGGGAAGTCCAATGAAATGCTTCCCCCTCCCCTTCCCCTTCCCCTCCCCCTCCTCCTATCCCTCGCTCTCCCACAACAGGTATCTCTCTCTCTCTCTCTCTTTCTCTCCCCCCCCTCTCCCCCCTCTCCCCCCTCTTCTCTCTTTCTCCCCGTTTCTCTCTTTTCCTGTCAATGGTTCAAGGACCCAATGGACGGCCGACTGGGAGTGTCTCGATGGAGGAGAAGCTGATCCTGATCTCCGTCCAGGACCCGGGAAGGACAGCAAAGAATCTGATAGTTCAATAAAAACAAAGGTAAACTCTGGCCGAGACGTCTTCCGTGGGGTTGGCATTGCGGAGACGTTTTCCTTCGTGGGCTGTTTTGCCTGCCATTGTGTGTGTTTGGGGACTCCACACAGAACAGAATCGGGCTCCTGTCTCTTCCGCCTCTTTCCTCATTCCAGAGGACCTGAACCTTGCTCGGGGCGCAAACTTTGCCGGGCTCCGGAGGTCCACTTTTCAGGCCCCACGCCCTGCCTCCCCTTGGGGCCTGAGAGCGGGAGAAGGGGTTGAATGGGCCTTGCTCCGAGGGAAGGGGAGGCTGGGCTGGCTTTCGGGGGACCTCCCGCGATCTGGTTCCTCCTCTTCGTCTCTGATGTCGCCTGAAGACACGCGAAAAAGGCCAGATGGGCCTCCTTCTCTGGTCTTTCCATCGATCCCATCGATTTATACCGACCTGCCCCGGGGGCTTGTCAGAGGGGGGACCATCGGTAGGAATGAATAGCCTTGCCTGTAATTAGAGCCGGAAGCCTCTGCATGATTACTGCGATCATTATTGGTATTATTAAATAGTATTACATACTTATTATTGTATTAATAGTATTATTACATTTTATTATTATTTTAATAATATTATTTTACATTTTCTGATGTATTCATTATGTATTTTATTAAATATTTATTATTGTCATTAATATAATTACTTAAATAGTATTACCTAAATGTTATTGTATTAATACTATTATTAAAATTTATTATTATTATTATTATATTATTGTACATTTTCTGATGTATTCATTATGTAATTTTATTAAATATGTATTACTGTGAATAATATAACTATTTAAATAGTATTACCTAAATATTATTGTATTAATAATATTAAATTTTAATAATATTTTAATATAATTGTTGGACACTTTCTTATATATTAATGATTTTATTAAATATTTATTTCTGTTATTATTGTTGTTGTTGTTATTATTATTTAAATTGCACCACCTAAATATTGTATTAATAATAATTTTAAGTTTTAATATTATTATTTTAATACTATAATTTTAATATTATTATTGCACATTTTCTTATACATTCATGGTGTATTTTCATTGTTATTATTAACATATTATCACTTAAATGCTATTTTATTAATCATATTATTTAAATTTACTACTATCACTTTAATATTATAATTACACATTTTATGACACACACACACACAGATACTAGTAAATCACACCTTGCTAGCCTGAAGTTCCCGCCATGTAGTTCTTTCCTCCACTTAAAAGTAGAGCCTAGGGATCTATTTCTCTCACGTGAAGACTGAATCCCTTCCTCCCTCCCAAACACGCGTGGACCCTCTGCTTATTTGCTTAGGGATGATGAAGGGGCCTCTGGCTCCCCAAATCGGTGCACAATCCTCAAGCCTCCTTTCTTACCCGCCAACAAGCCCCCTGCTCCAGGTTTCCCGATTTCCAGGCGAAACATTTTCCCCCGCGCTCTTTTAGTGACTCGGAGCCCTTTAAATCCGCGGCGAGACGCGTTAAGATTCCGTTGCCGGCAGCGGGATGTTTCCACTCGGGTCCTTGGGCGCAAGCGGCGCTCTCCTTGGCATATATTTGCGCAAATGCCAGAGAGGGGAGAGGGATGTTGACGCTTCCCTCCTGTGTGTGTGTGTTGGGGGTAGAAACGATCGTACCCCAATTCTCGGCGGGTTTTAGGCGTCCGGGGAGTTGTGTGACAAATAATAAAAGGATCCAAAGGGGTGTCTGGTCCAATCGGAGGCCTCCACACGCGAGATCCACGTTTAAAAGCCTCGCAGAACCGAAGGAGAGAGTGAATGCTCATCAGCGGAAGAAGGGATTCATGGACGCCGCCTCCTTCCTATTGTGAGTCTGGTCTTGTTTGGGAATCTTTTTGTTTGTTTGTTTGTTTGTTTACTTCATTCGACTCCTCTCTCCATTCAGTCAAACCGCCTTCCACACAGCCATATAACCCTGAATATCAAGGCAGAAAATCCCACTATATCTGCTTTGAACTGGGACCCCTTCCACACAGCTCAATAAAATCCCACATGTTCTGCCTTGATATTCTGGGTTATGTGGCTGTTTGGGAAAGCCCTGGATTATCTGAGTCCACACTGCCATATTCCAGTTCAAAGCAGATAATCTGGGATTTTATTCAGCTATGTGGAAGGGGCCTTTGCCCCGAAACTGTGCCCTCATCGACACTGCCATATAATGTAGTTCCAAACTGCCTTATATGGAGCCTGAGGGCCCTTCCAGACAGCCATATAACCCAGAATATCAAGGCAGAAAATCCCACCATATCTGCTTTGAATTGGGTTATCTGAGTCCACACTCAGATAATGTGGGATTTTCTGCCTTGATATTTTGGGTTATATGGCTGTCTGGGTTATATGGCCCCTTCCACACATCTGGATGAAATCTACATTGAACTGGATTATATGGCAGTGTGGACTCAGATAATCCAGTTCAAAGCAGATATTGTGGATTATCTGCTATGACATTCTGCTTTATATGGCTATGTGGAAGGGCCCTGAGTCTCCATGAGCCCAAGGGCCCTTCCACGCATCAATACACCCCAGAATATCAAGGCAGGAAATCCCACAATATCTGCTTTGAACTGGATTTTCTGTGTCCACATATATATTCCAGTTCAAAGCAGAAAACGTGGGACTTTATTCAGTTGTGTGGAAGGGGCCTAAGAGTCTTACTCCAAGGATGCATCTGCCCTGTAGAATTAATTCAGTTTGACACCACTTTCACTGCCATGGTTGGATGCAATGGAAATCTAGGGGGAGGGCCCAGCAGTCCCTTGTCAAACTACCACTCCCATGATACCATAGCACTGCCCCGTGGCAGTATTCATTCTAAAGTGTGGATGCGCCCCAAGTCTGAGCAGATGGCTCAAGCAGGACCCCCTCTCCTCTCTCCTTCTCCCCCTTCCGGTCTCCAACCCCTCTCTCCAATTCCAAAAGGCTGCTTTCAATTATTCGACTGCAACCTCCACCCTCCGCCGAGGGAGAGGAAACAATTAATAGAAAAGAGCCTTTAAAAATGGAGATCTATTCCGGCGTGACTTCTCAATATAATTATCTGGAGGAAGACAAGAGGTGGGGGAAACGTGACGCGTTTGATCTTGGCGCAGCCCAGGGGGGCCTTGGGGACGTTTGGAGGGGAGGGATGTCTCCCCGGTTTGTCCTTGCGGCCCCCCAAAACTTGAGCTCTCCTGGGACAGTGCTGGCGCCCCCCTCCGAGGACAGAGAAGGGTCTTATCTTTGTATATTCCCCCCAAATGTCCAGGAGGCAAAGAAATAATCGTGGAAATCCAAGATCCCTATTAAGAACTCCAGGAGGGGATTGAGCCTGCTTTTCTTGCCAGGAAAGGAACCAGAAACTGCAAAGGGACTACTGAATATGCGGCCCTCTTATCTGTGGGTTTACATACATATTTGCATACACTGGGCCTTTAATATCAGGGGGGTTTGATAAGCTGCCCCCCTCCTCACCCCATTGAATACTCAAATCTGTGGACGCTCTAGTCCAGGCGTGGGCAAACTTGGCCCCTCCAGGTGTTTTGGATTTCAACTCCCCCAATTCCTATCAGCCTCAGGCCCCTTCCTTTTCCCCCTCAGCCGCTTAAGTGGCTGAGGGGGGAAAGGAAAGGGCCTGAGGCTGTTAGGAATTGTGGGAGTTAAAGTCCAAATCACCTTCAGGGCCAGAGTTTGCCCACGCCTGCTCTAGTTCCATTATATACAATAATGTCCCTTATTATTTGATATTATCATCAAATAATAATAATTATTATTATTTGATCTTATTTGAAAACACAGACACGCTGGACCACTCTGACAACCATCCTTGTCAGACTATACAGGGAAGCCATTGAAATCCACAAGCATGTGGACAATTTCAGCAGAAAGGAAGAAATTATGAAAAGGAATAGAATCTGGCTACCAGTACTTTAGGAGCCCCCGGTGGCGCGGTGGGTTAAAGCACTGGGCTGCTGAGCTTGTTGATCAAAAAGGTCGCAGGTTCGATTCCGGGAACGGCATGAGCTTCCGCTGTCAGCCCTAGCTTCTGCCAACCTAGCAGTTCGAAAACATGCAAAATGTGAGTAGATCAATAGGTCCCGCTCTGGCGGGAAGGTAACGGAGCTCCATGCAGTCATGCCGGCCACATGACCTTGGAGGTGTCTACGGACAACGTTGGCTCTTTGGCTTAGAAATGGAGATGAGCACCACACCCCAGAGTCAGACATGACTGGACTTAATGTCAGGGGACTACCTTACCTTACCTTACCAGTACTTTAAAAAAAAAACCAAACAAACCTCTAAAATCAGGACAGTAAATAAAGATCAACTCTCAGAAAACTGGGGAATTTCAGACAAGAAACAATCAGGGCCAGCTAACACCTCCCAACAAAGAATTCCCCTGGGCAGGAAGCAGCCAGTCCTTGAATCTGCAAGGTCATTCAATGCTAATCAAGGTGCCCAATTGCTACATGCACATTTGCCTCAAGCAGACAAGAGTTCTTTCTCCCACCCTGGACTTTCCACAGATATATAAACCCTTCTCGCCTAGTTTTCAACAGCCTTACAACCTCTGAGGATGCCTGCCATAGATGTGGGAGAAACATCAGGAGAGAATGCTTCTAGAACATGGCCATACAGTCTGGAAAACTCACAGCAACCAAATGTCCCTTATACAAAATGGCAAAATTATACTTTAGATTTTTAAAATATATATTTTTTCAATCTCTGCATATTATTATTATTATTATTATTATTATTATTATTATTATTATTATTAGTACAAATACAATTCTTGTGATTCCCTACATGGATTCCCTCATCTTCAGGAAGTTGGTGGTTACCCAGAAAGGGACTTCATAGTTTCAGTCCTTTACCTCTCCTTTTCCCCTATTCACAGAAACCATTCTATTCCTGTAAGAGTGATCTAGGGGCATCTACACTACTGAAGACAGTTTGGAACTACTTTAATTGCCATGGC